ATTCTAGCCTACGTCCATCCTGGGTCGGAGCTGCATGGGAGAGCGGAGCCTGGCATCTCTGCTCCAGAGAGCAGAGCTGTCGAGTCTACCCGGGAGAGCTGAGCATGGCGTCTCTGCTCCAGAGAGCAGAGCTGTCAGGGTCTGAGCTCACTTCCTCTTCCTCCTGTTTACTCCTCCCACCTATGTTTTAACCTATCAGGGCAAGCAGTTTCTTTATTTAATTAACCAATGAAATCAACAGATTGATATATGACACTCCCACATCAGTCTATGCCTGTTTTCATTATTTTTTAAATTTATTCTTCTCTCTTACATTATATCCTGATCATAGTTTCCCCTCCCTCCACTCACTCCTCCAAGTTTCCCCCACACATACTTCCCCTCTCCCCCAGATGCGCTCTTCCTTCTTTCCCTTCAGAAAAGAGCAGGCCCCCCAGGGATATCAACTGAACACGACATAACAAAGTACAATAAGACTAGGCACCTCACCTCATATTAAGGTTGGACGATGTGACCCAGTAGGAGGAAAAAGTTCCCAAGATCAGGCAAAGAGTCAGAGACACTCTCCACTCCTACTGTTAGGAGTCACACAGAGCACCATGGTACACAACCATAGCATGCAGAGGACCTAGCTCAGACTCATACAGGCTCTGTAATTGCCGCGTTAGTCTCTATGAACCCGTATGAGCTCTGCTTGGTTGATTATGTGGCTGTGTTCTCATGGTATCCTTGACCCATTTGGCTCTGACAATCCTTCCCTGCCACTCTTCCCCCATTCTGAGTTCTGCCTGATGTTTGTTTGTTTGTGGGTCTCTGCATCTGCTCCCATCAGTAGCTGAAGGAAGCCTCTCTGATGATTGGGTTAGACTCCAGTCTACGAGTATAACAGAAAAGCATTAAGAATCATTTCATTGACTTGTTTTTCTTTTTTTGCCAGCCATGTTAGGGTCTATCCTAGGTCTCTGGGATATCCAGCCTTGGTTCCTGGCCATCCGGGCAGTATCATGGGCTCCCTCTCCTGGTGTGGGCCTCAATTTGAAGCAGTCGTTGGTGGGGACTCCCACAAGTTCTGCACCACCATCACCCCAAGCGCATCTTATAGACAGGACACATTGTAGTTGGAAGGTTTTGTGGCTGGGCTGGTGTCCCAATCCCACCACTTGCCTGGTTACAGAAGATGACCAGTTCAGGCTCTGCATTCCCCATTACTAGGAGTCTTCACTAGGGTCACCCTCGTAGAGTCCAGGGAGTTTTCACTGCACTAGTTTTCCACACTACTCCCAAGATACTCCCCAAAGCCAGTTTTCTCTCTCAGTACTCTCTCCCTCCATATCCCTCCCACCTGATCCCTCCGGTTCCCATCCCTACCCACTCCCAGTTCACCTGCAAAATCTCTTCTATTTCCCCTTCCCAGGGAGATACAAGTGTCCTTCCTAAAACCCTCCTTTGTTACGTGACCTCTCTGGTTCTGTGGATTATATCATGATTATCCTTTATGTAACAGCGAATATCCACTTATGAGTGAGTACATACCATGTTTGTCTTTCTGCGTCTGGGTTACCTCACTCAGCATGATCTTTTCTAGTTCCATCCATTTGCCTGCAAATTTCATGATGTCATTTTTTAACAGCTGAGCAATACTCCATTGTATAAATGTTTGGAAATAAATTACAGTGTTTTGGCCACATTGCCTCTTTCCTCAATGGTCAGCTACTTACTACCTTATAGTCCTAACTTCACTAGGTTTTCTCTTTAAGGACATATCCACTTTCACACTGATGGTGTACTGGACTTACAAGTCATTGACCACCCACCCCTCCATTCTATCCCTGTCACTACTAGGTATCACTTTGCCTCAGACCTCGGGTTCTGCAGCAGATAGCTGATCTGTGCACTCAGCTCCAGTTCTTAGGTGATCTTTGCTGTGATCCCAGTTCCCTGCTCTATTTCTTTTCCCTTTTCTTCACGCCCAGTGATCTGGCCGTTGACCTTCTCATGGCCTCACTTCTCACCCCTTTCTTTTCCCAGACTTTCCCAGCTGCTCCTAGTTATTTTTAAATCCAGCCAAAACCTCTAGGACAGTGGCTCTTTGATGTTTGGGTTCACTGTATCTTCTTCTCCCATGAGGTTCTGAGCTTGAGAATCCCATGAGAACATGTTGATTTTCTCTTATTCCCAAACCACTCTCCTATCCTGCCTCTGCCTCCTGAGTGATGAGATTAAAGGCATGCGCCGCCACTGCCCAGCAAAAACCTAATTCTTTTGTCTGCTTTGGTGTAAGGACTTGTTTGCATTTAGCACTTGGCCATCTCCGCCCCCCTCCTCCCCCCGGTTTCTCATAAGTTAGTTTCATTGCTAGAGGAAAATGCTTTGGTTGTCTCTATATCTCTAACTCAGCCTGCAAATCCGGCCCTGTGCCTGGTCTCTGTTCTGCAGTAGCCGCCCAGCTTGACTCTTCCTAGACTCTTCCTAGTTCCCAGCCACCCAGGCAGCTTGCTTCTGTGTCTGTTTATCTAGTCCATGGATCGTGTGTTTATTCTTATACTCATGAGAACAATAGACATACTGTGCCTGCCCTTTGCACTCTCCCGCTCTTGCTTTGTATTACTTGATAATTATGTGCTAGTGTTTTCCTTAAGGAGCAGAGTTTAGATGGAAGCCAGTTACTGCTGATAGGAGACATGATAAACATGTGGGCGTTCTGCACTGTTTTCTCCACGTTGAGATGCTTGAGTTCTCAAGTGATGCTGAACAGGCTCTTGGCATATTGAAATCATTCTTACAAGAAATCAAATTATTGTTTGATTAAAGCTAAGGTGAAAAATGGTTTTGCACCACTTAGAAAGTTTGAAAGAGATGTAGCACTAAAACAATATTTGCATGTCTTTGATGGAAATGATTTGGTATCAAGATGAGTGCAAATGGATGAGAAGGAAAGCCCAGTCCTCCCGAAAGCAAACCCTTCTCACATATGAAGATTTTAGATGATTTGAAAGGCGGAGAATGATTCCTTCTTCTTTCCATACCAGACCATATGGCTAAGAACTATTATCAAAAAGGACACCATGGAATATTGCCTTGTCTGTCTTCTACATCCATCTCTAAACTCCTAGGGCATCAGTTCTCGACCTGTGGGTTATGATGCCCTTGGGTGTTCAACATTCCTAAGACCATCAGAAAACACAGATGTTTACATTATGGTTCATAGCAGTAGCAAAATTATAGTTATGATGTAAGAGTGAAAATAATTTTATGGTTGGGTGTCACATGAGGAACTATATTAAAAGGGTTGCAGCATTAAGAAAGCTGAGAACCATTGACATAGGGAGTAGGTACCATGAGACTGCATGTTTAATGTTTAGTACCTACAGAACTTCAAAGTACTTTTGACTTTACACATAGAGCTATTTCTTGAATTGAGTATGGGGAAGTGTGAATTAACACAGGTGAATGTTAGGGAAAAGAAGGCATTCATCATACTTGCCTGCCTAAAAGTATATTTCATGTTGGGTTTTGAAGCTAAAAAGGATACATGCACAAAGAGAGGATGGGGGGGTGTTTCAGGAATATCCCTGGAAACCGAATCTTCTAGATTGAAAAACTTAATTTCTAAAGATCAATTCATGGTAAACAATTCCCACCCCCTTGTGCTTTCTAAGTTTTTCTAATGCCATTGATGACATTTATAACAACCTCAGAAGCCATTAAGTTATGCCACTAGCATCCCTTCTTTGGGATTGATGCTAGACTGTTTAGAGGGTGATGTAAACAAGGGGCATAACCATACTATTTACCTGGAATTATTCTAATTGTCCAGAAAGGTCAGCATTCTCTCTTGTTGCAAGTCTTTTGAACCCTGTTTTTCTCTGGGTAAATATGAGCTTAGTGCTTCTGGTATATGTGTTTTATGGTGTTGGTTAGGTCTAGACTTTTCAGTTTGTAACAAAAAACTGATCTCCAAAATCTGCATTCTCTTCTAAAGGGCAAGTGTTCCCTTGTCACCAGTACCACGGGCCTAACCCTGCAGTGGGGTTAGGCCCTATTGTCTGCGTAATCTAAATGTTGGACTTCAAGAGATTACAGATCTTAGAGTCTTTATCAATGTGCATATCTATCATATAGGGGATTGTGCTAAGGGCCGAGGGGCATACAGGAGAAACAATATGATGTGTAGCTCACCTTGCTGGAACGTCTGAGCCAGCAAGGCACCAACGAACCACAAATTCATGGCCCTCTGGCTCTAGTTGGAGGAGGAGGATCAATAGTTCAAGGCCAGTCTGGTACATGAGATCCAATCTCAAAAAAAAAAAAAAAAACAACCAAGCAAAACGAAGCTAAAACAAACAAAAAGTTAGATTGTTAGTGTCTTAGTTAAGGTGTCTGTTGTTGTGCAGAGACACCATGACCACCAAAACTATTACAAGGGAAAACATTTAGCTAGGGATGGCTTATTGTTTCAGAGGTCAGCATGTGACATGCAGGAAGACATGATGCTGAAATAGTAGCTAAGAGTTCTTACATCTTGACCTGCAGGCATCAGGAAGTGGTCAGAGACACTGGGTGTGGCTTGAGCATATATGAGACCTCAAAGCCTACCTCCACAGTGATGCACTCCTTCCAACAAGGCCACACTTACTCCAACATGACCACACCTCCTAAAGTGTCACTCCCTTTGGGGACCATTTTCTTTCAAACAACCACACTGGGCATCTAAAATCCCAACTGGGTTTTGAATCCTTGTGGGTAGCATCTATTATTCCTTCTGACTTTGAACTTCATGCTAAATTAGTAAATTGTCACATTGCTAGTCCCCTGAAGGAATGGGTTACTTGGGCTGGGCATGTAGCTGAAAAGGTAGAGCATTTGACTAGTACATATAGGTCTGTGGGTTCCATCCCCAGCACCACAAAGGGAAAAAAAGGAAAGAGCTTCTATTGTCTCGCATCAGGATGCCACACCTGTCTGCCCCCATTTCTTACTTTCCATTCTGCTGTTTCTAGGACTGCATCGATGTAGGCTGGTGGGAAGGAGAGCTCAATGGCAGACGAGGAGTGTTCCCTGATAACTTCGTGAAGTTACTTCCACCGGACTTTGACAAGGAAGGGAATGTAAGTCTCCCTGGCTTTGATCTCAGTGTCTCCCGTTCTGTCAGAATTGTGGCTTCCATGATGAGACTTGGGAGGTAGAGATCTTTTGTTATAAAACAAAAGAGTACTGACATTGGAATGTTTAATGGGCTTGGCTTCTGAGCCCATGGTTGCCATAGGACAAACCCATTATTCACTCTATTTACCAGCTGGTAAAAATTATCCAGGGTTTAATGTATATAGAGCACTTAATATAGTACCTGCACATTGGAATTCCTGGGGAAACTGTCAGAACCCTGGGAACTCTATATGGTAAGTACACACCTCATGTTTTGCATAGCACAGTCCTTGGGGGTGCAGAAGTAGCCAGTATTGAAAGCTGCTGAAAATCACATTTTGAGGCTAAGAATGGAAGACACAGCCTGCTAATTTCTACTATATTTGCGTATGTGTATACATATACTTAAGTGCGTATTTATAAATGCCTCATCCAGGTTTCTCTGTGGGGACTGTTTTGATGATGATGCTGTTCAGATGACCCATTCTGTTTGCCTCACTCCTTGTGTATTGTTTCTCTACTAAAGATATAACACAAATGGTGAAAACTGGAAGTTCTTTACAGTATAAAGGTTCGGCTGTTTGATCTCATTTATTCGTCCTGTTCTTTACCTCGCAGCCCTTTCCTGAGGCATTTGTCTGACTTCTGCCAACCTTTTCTGGCATGGGGCCTCTTTGGGCCCAGGGAGGGTTCTGTGCTTGGACCAGGCTAAGCCTGGCTGTATTATTTACTTTTCTAGTTGTTGTAGTGAAGGATCTGACAAATGCATCTTCTGAAAGGAAGGGTTTGTTTTGGGTCACAGCTCAAGATTACAGGCCATCATAGTGGAAAATCTTGGCAATGAAAGACTGGGACAGCTAGTCAAATTGTAGCAAGTCAGGAACCAGAGGGGGAAACTCCCTAATAGACACCCCTAGAATTTTGTCTCCTAAATGATTCTAGATCTTGTCAAATTGACCATTTTTAACCATCACAGTGACTTTGTTATATCGCCAGAGCTAATATACAAGAAGGATAGCTACAGTGTTAGTAGATTGTCAAACTACCATTTAATGGTACATATGCTGTTTAGAAGAATATGTATATTTGTTTTAAAAGCCAGCATCTCTAACAAACTCCCAGGTGATGTTGACACTTCGAGCATCAAGGTTCCAAAAATCTGGAGGAAGCAGAATTTAAATTCTCCAGAGCTTTGGTTCTAATACCTAGAGAGAATAACAGGTATAGAACATAACACATTCTCAATGTAAACATTCCAAGATTGTAAGCTATTAAAATATATTAAAAGTATGGCCTTGGGCTGGGCGGTGGTGGCTCATGCCTTTAATCCCAGTACTTGGGAGGCAGAGACAGGCAGATCTTAGTAAGTTCGAGGCCAGCCTGGTCTACAAAGCAAGTTCCAGGACAGCCAGGACTGTAACACAGAGAAACCCTGTCTCAAAAACAAAAACAAAACATAAAAAAGTATGGCCTTGGACTGAAAACTCTGGTTCATTTTGCTTCAGCTGACCAAATCAACCCATTATGTTGATATCTTGATTAATTTCCCAAAGAATCCAAATGAGGCTAAGAATTTTGTTGAATAGCCATCTAAAAGATACCCAGTGATATGTAAAATACATTTATAGAAATAACCAAGCAAAGAATCACACAATCTTCATGTTGTGGTCCTCTGCCTTTAAATTCCTGGTCTTACTTTGCTGTGGCCATGAATTCACACAATTTTCATGTTATTTCTCATATTTTTTCCTGGATCTGTTGCCTGACAACTATGTTTGATATTTTTAGTCATTCCCTTAGTATTTTGGAGAACTTTTTCCAGGGCTGGTCATGGTAGATAAATAAAGTAGACAGTTTCTGCCCTTGTTGACTCAGAGTTGAGCAGAAAGGCTGGCATTCAAGGCTTTCTGAAGGATCCTCAGTATGCTGGGCCTGAGAGAGTGGGAAAAGGGCCATCCACATGGCTTGTGGCATACTTCTGGACTGGTCTTTGTGAGTCTGGAAAACCCTTGGTTGTGATTCTCCTCCTTTGGCCTTTCTGCTAGGTGTTGTTTTATTATGGTTCTGATTGAGGCAGTATGATTTACTTTGAAAAAGAAAACTGGAAGATCAAATTGTAGGTAATTGCCATGAAACATGATTTTTGGAAGTTGCTACAGACTTCGCATCCACGGCTGAACCAACCATGGACTGAAAATGGTTTTGTAAAAATGTGTCTGTGTTGAACACACAGATACTCAAAAAGTATTCCCTGACAATACAGTGGCAGCTGCTTGTAAGTAATCTAAAGGTGATTTTGTGCAAATGGGAGGAAAGACTCAGGTTGTGTGCAAGCCGTATACCATTATATAAAGGATTTGATCATAGTATCAGTGAGTTTTGATGTCCATAGGGGATCATGTCACAAATCAATCACAGATTCCAAGAGGTTACTGTGTATTAACATCATGGAAAAACTAAATCTACCTAATCAACATATGCCTTCCTTCATATAGTTGTCATTTTTATGGTGACGGGGACATGATTTCGAAGTCTGGGGTAAACACTAGACCATTTTTCAAATGAATGGGCAAACCCCACAGTTACCTCCGTTGTGACCCTCTGCCTTTAAATTCCTGGTCTTATTTTGTTGTGGCCACGAATTCACTCATGCAAGAGTGTACTGTTTTAGAAGCTCTTTGTTATATAAGGCATCAAGAGAAGTACTTCCTCAGGAAAGCGAAGTTGTTAGTACCGAGGGGACATGGTGTGGCTTATTTGTTGGGACATGCATATTTTGTGGAGCCCCATGGGCATCTCTGCAACCCCAGACAGGCAGCCATCATTTCTTTTTGAAACTTCATCCTTATGAAGTAGAAAACTCAATTTTAGGGAAACAATGGTCATACCTATCAAATATAGTCATGCCTAGCTGAGAAGTGCTTGTCTAATTTAGGTTTTTGAAGTTTCCATTAGAGCTTCCCCTTTCATCCTGCTGGCCTTTATTGCTTTCCATCTATTGCTATGCCAGGCTTTATTGCTGTACCTAGAATTTTGGTGAGTCAGTGACAATGTGGTGGAGCCAGGAGCTGCCATTTGCCGAGGTGACAGTATGACAATGATCAGAATCATTAACATGAAGACACTGTGTGGGCGATGGCGTCTGAAACATTCTGCTACCAGTCTCGGCAGATGTCATCTTGTCTTGCCAGTAATCGGGGTTGCAGTCATTCACCCAGAAAAGAGGGCAGTCTGCAATGATCATAATAGACAGAAGCAAATGGCATTTCCTCCACAGCAGGCTTCTTGACTCAGCAGGCATCACCCGAGCATGCTGGTGAGACTGGCATATTTCCTGCCAGAAAATGGACTCAAGAGAGTCACCATCAGACCTTTTGCAATTCCTGGTGGACTTTCTTCCTGAGACGGCTCAGTGGATTCTCTCTCCAGTATGACAAATGCTCTGTGGCTTTTCCTCAAGGTTTTCCAGGGGCGAGTTCTCATTGATCTTGTGGTGCATATTTTAAAGCAATTATGTAAGCTATTTACGAGAAAGCCTAGATCAGTCACTGCTTATTTTGAGCCTTGACAGTACAATTGCACATTAGAATGGAAAGATGAAATATTCGGAGAGCTCTACTAAAGCAAGGCGCATGTGTTGCCATTGTTGGCCAAGTGTAACAGGGAACAAGGGCTGGTGTTGAGACTAGCAGGAACGGTGTCTTGATGCCATTAGAAAGAGGTAACCATTAGAATAAGTCTTTGGAAAGATAATGCTTTTGAATGGTAGTGATTCAGGAAGGTTCCAGGCTGTGAACCTCCTAAGAGGAGCAGGCAGATGACCAGAAGCTACATGACACCCCAGTGCATGTCTGCTGAATGGGCTCTTTGAAGTTGGTGCCATGTACCAAATCAGACACCTCTAAGACTCCCCTCGGGGTCTTAGAGGAACACCACAGTGTTCCTTGGGGGGAACACTCACCTCTCAGTCACAAGGCCTCAGAAAATTTCCCTGAAGATGTCTGTCTCTGCCACTGTGATTCGGGCTCACTTTTCCTACTTCCAGACTTATGCATGCAGCAGGCTGCCAGCTTACTAATTGCAATAGGAACTGAGAGATGTTAGCCAGTTTTGAAGATAAGGGTCTGCCTACCCCGGGCATTTGCCCCCAACCCTGTGGGTCTAAGTACTTAGGGCCTAGGTTACATAAAATCTCCAGATTTATCTGTGAAGGCAAAGAGCCCATGTGAGAAGAGTTAGCTCTTATTAGAAAAAGCCTGGCAGGTATGTCTTGAGGCCCTCTCCACACATGGAAGGAGAAGGCATGCTAAGGGAACTATATGCTGAGTTCAGCTAAACCCAGACAATCGTTGCAAGAGTATTGTCCTGTTGGCTTTGGCAGCTCTTTTTTTTTTTTTTTTTTTTTTTTTTTTTTGGCATATTCACCACTGACCAGACCAGGGCCCGGGATTGCAGCTAATTGGCAGAGTACTTGCCAAGAACGGAGAGTCCTAGATTTGATCCCTGACACTGCATAGTCAGGGTGTGGTGCTGCACACCTCTGTGTTCAGCTAGGGTTTCTATTGCTGTGAAGAGGCACCATTTAATTGGGGAAAGTGTTGGAGGTGGAGGCTTACAATTCAGAGGTTCATTCCAGTATCATCATGACAGGGGGCATGGTGGCATGCAGGCAGACATGGTGCTGGCCAACAGGAAGTTGACTGGAACACTGGGTGGTATCTCAAGCATAGGAAACCTCAAAGCCTGCCCCCACAGTGACACACTTCCTCCAACAAGGCCATGCCTACTTCATCAAAGCCATACCTCCTAACGGTGCCACTTCCAATTAGCTTATGGGGGCCAATACCATTCAAACCACCACACCTGCAATCCCAGCACTTAGTAGGTAGAGGCAGGAGGAACAGAAGTTCATCTGTGGCTATATATTGACCTTGAACTCAAGTCTAGGATACGTGAAACCCTG